AACAGTTCTCTTGAACATAAGGACGAGTTGTTGAGCACCATGTAAAGGAGAGAGGTAACTCTCATGGTGCTAGCAGACTTTTCAAAAGCATTTGACACTGTTTGCGTTAAAATGGTGATAACCAAGCTGCACCACCTCATTTTTTCAAAGAGAGTTATTGAATGGTCAGGTAATTACCTATGCAGCAGCATACATTGTGTTCAGATTGATGATCCCTAGTCATCACCTGCACTATCTGAGTTTGGAATCCCACTATTTCATTTCTGTTGCAGTTTATTAAAATTTTTATTTACCCATAATCCCCTGTAGGTATGGTCTTTTTTGCAAATAGTCAGTTTCTAGTTCACTGACACAGTATAAGGTATAAGTAACAACATTTTGTACGGCATGAAGTCTACTGCCTCATCGTTGAGATCAACTGGCACTCTAAACACTGACTTTCTGCCTCTTTTTACAACTTGAAGATCATAACAGATATGCTATACAATTGCTGTATGAACAATCCTCAAGTCTGTAGGTCATATCAATAAAATTATCTCTGAGGAAGAAGTTCCATTAAGCACTTCCTGCTCTGTGGTGTAGACACTTCCATAGTCATCTGTGATATCTTCAGAGAGCTCTACCACTGTGTCACTTATCACCTTCAACAGACAGTAGTCATAGCTTGAATCAGCATCTGCTGCTACTGCTACTACACTCCCCTCTCCTGCAAGGTCAGCTATTTTGACAGCTGTGTCTGTTGTTACTTCAGCATTGTCTTCTACATTTCTGGTAATGGCTGTTGATCCTCCTCTTTTAGTGTTAAGCTCTTTCCCAGTCATCCATTCACTTACAATTTTTGCAAACATTGCTAGTTTCCATTAAGCAGTTGATACAGTGACAGGATCTGTCTTTAAAAACCTTCCCTTGTTCTGTGATGTATTTCACCACATGGATCTTCGCAATGCCTTTCATTTTAAATTTTCAAGTGGGCCTATTTCTGTTCACTTAATGTTCACCTGTGACAGGGACATCAAAAAAGAGGCACTGCTTTAAATTTACAGATTTTGTCCTGGAAAAGTAGCTTGAAGTAGCAGGCAAAGTGAAATTTTCATTAAGAAATGAGTACATGTCTTTGGCACTTTTTATTCTGGCTGTTCAATGAAGCATCGCCTGGCTAAACTTTTGCTTCATGAGTGACCCAGCTGTATCCTGTTTTCCTTTTGCATGAGGCATTTTGAAGAAGTTTCCCTTTTTTTGTAGCCAAAATCTGTAAGACAAGAGGACAAATCTCCAAGGCAGTGACGGGATTTATACTGCACTGGGCATCCATTCGTAAGTTCATGCATCATTGTTACTTGTTGGCCAAGATCCTTTGTCAGATAACTTTTCAAAAGTTCTTGCACTTCGTGAACGGAACTGTTGTTGTGGATGACATCATCTGAGATTACAAATACATGATTCTTCACATTCTCCGGAGTTATGGTATAATCAAACCAACAGAGAAATGAAATGTTCCTAACAATGAGCGAATCCTTAAAGCAGTGCAATACTTATCATTAATAAACTTAATTAAGCCTGCCAAAGTCTATGTTCTAGCTCACCACTGACACAATCTCACTGCTGTCTCCAAAGTCCCTTGAAAAGAGCAATCTTCTGTGGGAACTCTCTCTCAGTATAGCTCCAACAATAACAACTACTACTACCACTACATAAGTTTACTACCCAAAAGCCTCTTTTACAGTAACAGGGAAAAGGAACACCCTCTTCTTCAAGACAGCTTTGTGGAATTTCATACAGTTACCAAATATGATCTTCATTTCTACATGTTTTCAACAAAGGCGGGACTTTCTATCACGTTCTTTGGCAGCTTTTGGTTCACTAAGTCATGAAAATTACGAAAAGAAGAATGTGAAGGACCACAGTTGATGTTTGTACATGTACATGGAGGTTGCACTGTGGGAGGAAACGTGAAAGAGAACCCTCCAGAATTCCATATAAAAGAGTCAAACTGTTCAGAAAAACAAAAGTTTTTCAAAATGCAGCTAAATCATACCCTAAAGAAAGCATTCTGAGTTCATCCTCTTATGAGATCAAAAAAAAAGATTTAAGTGTTTAAAAGACAAGATAGTGATTCGTTTTTGCATGCGAAGCCCTCAAACTCTTGCAATAATTTGCTGCTAAAAATAACAATTTTAACGGAATTTTGTTATCCCAAAGACAAGAAGATCAACAAGTTCAGTAAATAAAAATTCTTGTTTCTACAGAGTGCTCCTTTCTTTATGCTTCTTGGACATAAATTAGTTAATGCCGCACAAACAAAAATAATTCTATCCAACATTGGTTCAACATGAGTTCTTAGTGATGCCACATGACAAGTATGTGTTGTCCCTTTAGCTGATAGGCGTGTCCTTGACAGTAGGGTGGTGAGATAAAGTGGACTTTCTTAAATGTTAAGAGATCCTGAATCACAAAACCCTTGTCAGTCATGACTGCATCCCCCTCCACTCCCCCCTCCAATGCAAGTCCAGCAGTCCACTTTGCCTAACAATTTCTTTGTCACTGATGGATCCTATCCATAATGGTGTAATGAAGGATACAACACCAGTGTTTGTAATTACTCCATGTAATCTTTTGGCTTGAAGGAACTTCTGGTTTTTGTATGAAAAGTTCAAGACAATCAATTATTACTCTTACATTCTTAAATTTTTTAACCTTTTTGACAGACATTTTTGTAATTCTGATCTTGAAGGCCATGGAACTAGATAGGACAGCTCTCGAGAAAGAAATGTTATCCATGTATTGTAAATTCTTAATACTTGAGAAGAATTAATGCCAAAAGTGTCAGCTAGGAATTTGACATCAAAAAGTTTTCTTGTTCTCACTAAGGTGAAAACAAGTTGTTCCCATCTTGTCAAGACTCTGTCATTTTTTCTCTGTTTTTGTGTATCAGCTACTCGTTTTTTTGATGACTTTTTAGTATTCTTACTGCCCCTCCAGAGACGGCCTTTGGTTCTAAAAATTCAAAATCTAAAACAAGGTTAGACTTAGTTACACCTGTGCAACAGTTTTTAGAACAAGTTGCCTAGTCAATGAAATATTTTTTCTTCTCTTTCACTTGACTTAGACACTCTGTCTGTGTAGCTAATTCAACAAGAAGAATAGCTTCATGATCAGTATCTGAAGGGAATGCTGAGGCTACATAATCTAATTTTTTTTCTTCTAATAAAGTCATCCTCAACAAAGGGCTCATTCTTAACTGGAACTTCAGTTTTGTCACTACTTTGCTTTCTCTTCCTTGAGCAACTCTCTTTGATTTGTGTAGATCAGAGCTTTGGGGGAGGTCTTTGCTATAACAATGGTACCTTTTATGTACAACGTTGGTGTAGGACATTCAGAAGTTCTGTAACCTGGAGCAAAGTGATTTGAACAGACGTTCGTACTCATTGTTACCTTGAAGTGATCATGATTAATAGATCTAGCTCACGAAAAGACGTCTTTCTTACTCTTGGGGGAGTAGAATCTCAATATTCTAACATGAGGAAGAATAGTTTGCTTTTCTGAGTGCCTTCAATTGTTGTTACAACCCCACATAGCACAGTGAGGCCTGCGAGGCATATTTCCAATAATATTTGTGTTAGTGGCCCATTGTTATCATAGCAAAACCAGCAGGAGATGCTTCCTTAATTTAAAAAGAAAGGAGAATAAAGCATACGGATGTGATAAAAAAATTAAAAAGAAAGAACTAAAATTTTAAAAAATAACAATAAGAAAAACAAATTGGGCAAAAATATTAAAAATAATAATTAATGACCTTTCTTGAATTCCCCGCACCCAAAAAACTGACAACCAGAAATGCGGTGCGGGATAAGCAGACAATTCTTAGCCCATTTATTGAACTAACCAACTAATCACAAGACAAAAACAACTGTTTACACTGTTTAGACACCAAAAAATTAAACAAACTCTTCACGTTCGATGCGGCCAAAGTAAATTGAATAAACAAAACCACTTATAATGACTGTCAATCATCAGGAAAGCACAACTAAAAATCGTTACGAGGAAATGGACTACAGGATTCCAACCAAACAATAAAGAAGAACAAAATTTAACTGTCCGCTTGTAAAAATCCACAATGAAACTTGTTTACTGTTCAGCGAATATATACTTGCTAGTTTACATATCACACTTCTTTCCCATAATCTCACGCCGGCACTTAAAACACACTGCCGACAAATGCACTCGTGCTCGGGAATTCAAGAAACCATTTATCTTTTGTTTCATTACGCTTCGCTACATTCAGGCAAAGATAAATGAACAATTCTTGAATTCCCCGCACCCAAAAAACTGACAACCAGAAATGCGGTGCGGGATAAGCAGACAATTCACAATCAGTGGCAAAAGCATATAAGGATACAATATAAGGCAATGTTCATTAAGCAAAACATATTTACAGTATAATAGACAGCTAATCGCTTGGATACCATAAGGGTACTGTCCAAAAATTGTTAAGCATATCCACCTGCGGCAAGTAGCCATTACGAAGATCGAAAGTAAAAAACCAATCACCTGGCTGAAGAATTTCCGCCACGACTCGAAGGTCTTCGAACTTAAACTTACGCTTGGCTAGGTGCTTGTTAAGAAAGCGAAGGTCGAGAATCAATCGACGTTTGCCATTCTTTTTAGGAACTACACCTAAGGGATTGCAAACATGAACTTGGTCACGCTTGACTTCCACTGCACTACCCGCCAACAACAATAGCTCGATAGCTTCACAAACAAAAGCTCTATTATCAACAGCGCTTTTATGATTACTAAAGAAATACCTCAATGGAATTGAAACAAATGGTAACTTATAACCGCTTTCAATAACACTAAGAACAAAAGAAGAGGCCCCAATAGAACGCCAAACATGCAAAAACTTGCGCAAGGGGCCTCGAATCCAAAATACTGAGGAAACCCCCCGTGTCAAGTTCAGACTCGCCACAATCCGAAAATTAGTCAAAATCAGAGTCAGCTAGTCACTTAGCGGAAGAGGACACTTTACAATCCTTGATAAAATGGCCCGCTTTGCCACAACCAAAGCAGCGATAAACAGAAGCTTTTTTCTCTGGTAGAGGATTAACCAAAAGCTGACCGACACCTGGGCGGAAATCCGCGATTCTATGTGATGGGCCAAAGTTAGCACCGGGGCTGCTTTTGGAAGACGTAGACTGAGACTTAAAACGAGTTCCCATTTTGCTTCTCAGACTATTTTTTCGATTTCGTTTCTCCCGAGACCTCTCTGCTTCCTTGCGCGCGACACGAAGTTTCTTTTCCTCTTCGTCATTTTTAGTGAGGGGGTCAACCTCAAAATATTCTACCACGTCCCAGCCATCCCGGTCAGCAATAGAAATAAGCTTATTTCTGTTATCAAGGAGTGACATACCTTCGTTGGCAATCTTAGTGATGGCGTCATCCGCCCCAGCCTTCTCTAGAATCTGGTTGAACTTGTCCTTGACGTCAGAGTTGAACTTGAACTGTTTCTTGTTACTCTTATATCTGAACTCGGGCTCCTCCTCCACAGACTTGCGTTTTAATGAGTCGAGCTGTTCTCTGACAACCTTGACCTCTTGCGTTTTCGTCTCCAAGGCCTTTAAGATGTCCTTCGCCCACGTTGGGGGCTCAGGGCTGCGAGAAGCCGAGCGACTTCTACGGTGCGAACGCTCGCGGACACTCCTTCGCGAAGGCGAAGCACTACGACCAGAACCGCTTGAAGCTGCAACATGTGAGCGAGAACTACGACGGCCTGAACTTCGAAGTTCTCTTGACCTGGACGGCCGGACAGCAGGGACTTCAATGTCCGGGTTGACTCTCGAAGCATGAGAACGAACTGAAGCAGGGCGACCATGACGGCCCCGTGCCAT